CGCCTGCCAGCTTCCGCGCTTCTTTTCTGCACTCTGCAATGCGGGAACTAGACGCTCGAAGGTGCGCCACCAGGTCTGCGGGCGGCCCGCGACAGCGCCCCGCTGGACCCCCCAGCAGCCTTCGAAAGTGGCGAAAGTTTCGCAGATCGCAGCCCCACAAGGCTGGCGAGGTCTAATCTGAGTCTGCGTGGGACGTGACTCCGCTGGGCTCCCCTGCATCCTTCGAAAGTGGCGAGAGTTTCGCATATCATGCCCGACGGGGATGGCGAGATCTAGTATGAGTCTTCGTCGGACGTCACCCCGCTGGGCCTCCCAGCAGCCTTCGAAATTGACCCCGCAGGGATGGCGAGGTCTAATCTGAGTCTGCGTGGGACGTCACTCCGCTGGACCCCCAGCAGCCCTCGAAAGTGGCGAAAGCTTCGCAGACCGCAGCCCCACAGGGATGGCGAGGCCTAAACTGACTCTGCGTGGGACGCCCCTCCGCTGGACCCCCCCGCAGCCTTCGAAAATAGCGACAGCTTCGCAGATCGCAACCCCACAGGGACGGCGAGGTCTAAGCTGATTCCTCTCGCTTCGCGGGGTGCACGTCCGGAGCACGTACAGTCACGTCGTCGCGGGGCCTCTTGGGAGCCTTTTGGGGGCCTCCTGGAGGCCGCCTGGGAGTTTCTGTTGGCCTTTTGGGGGCTTCTTTGGGGGCTTTCCCCCCTCCCTCCTTTTCATACACCCTCCCCATCTTCCCTTCCATCGCCGGCTCCAATCATGGGCGCCGCAGTGACCAACTTCCACCTGGCTGGCGCTGCGCCGCAGTTCGCCCAGAAGGGGGGAAAATAACATTACACACCAGTCGCCGTGTGGCCTTTGGGGGGCTTGTTGGAGGCCTTTTGGAAGCTTCTGGGGGACTGCTTGGAGGCTTGTTGGGGGCCTTTGGGGGCCTTTTGGGGGCGTCTTGGGCCGTCTTGGATCGCTTTTGCGCCGTTTCGCCCCCTCGGAGGCTGTTTTGGGGGCCTCTCGCGGCCGCATTGGAGCCCTCTTGTGGTCCTCTTGGGCCGTCTTCGCTGCCTCTTGGACCGTCTTGGGGGCCTCTTTGGGTCGTTTTGGGGCCCTCTTGGGCCGTCTTGAGGCCCTCTTGGGAGTTTCTTGGGTTGTTTTGGGGCGATTCTGGGAGCTGCTCGGGCCGTCATGGATTTTTGAGAGCCGAGAAAGACGAGAACGCTAAAATATTGCAAAAACCATAGGCCTGGAGCTTTTGGGGCCCTCATGGGGCCGTCTTGGGGGCCTCATGGGCCTTCGTTGGGAATATTTTGGGCCGTCTTAGGGCCGTCTTAGGGCCATCTTGGGCCATCTTGGGGCCCTCTTGGAGCCCCAAGAGGCCCAAGAGGCCGAATTTGTTGATTTGTCATAGGTTTTTGCAGGTTTTTAAAGCCCCAGAAGGGGGGCGTCATTTTGGTCCGGCGGTGTGGCGCAGCTCCCAGGGGGGGGTTAGGGGGGGAGACATAATAATGTAACACAATACAATGTGTTGCAATTATGGAACCTTTGGATACATCGGATACGTTGCATTAAGGCGTTCGCCGAAAAAACGCTGCCGCTCAGCACGTCACCTCCGGACGTGGACTCTGCGTGGGACGCCACTCCGCTGGACCCCCCAGCAGCCCTCGAAAGGGGCGACAGTTTCGCAGATCGCAGCCCCCCAGGGATGGCCAGTAGGAGTCAAGCTGGCACGCAGCAAGGAGCAATGTAACAGGCAGGAGAGAAGGGGAGAGGGTGCGGGAGGAAGGAGGTGTGCGATCGCAGTGCTCTACTCAAAACGAGTACCCAACGCAGGAGGGCTGGGAAACATGGAAAACCGTCCATAACACCTCCAGGATCGATCGTCTTTGCTCTTCCCTCCCAGTGCCATCTGTCGGGATGTCACGGCTCGTGCTGCGGTCCTGGGGCGTTTCAAGGGGCCAGTGACCACATTCCTGTTATGGTTTCCCTGAAGATGTTTTCTCCGTCGTCTCGGCACCCTGTCATCTCGCCTGGGTTTGCATCCTTACTTGAACTGCATCCGGCAGTGGGTGGACTCTTGGATGACATTCCTCCGTCTTGGGATGCCCCCGTTAAGCTCCAAGTTCCCAAATCGAATTTCTTCGCGGCCGCCTCGGCAGCACGTGATGCACAAGGATCTCGCCAAGCCGTTTCGCACCACGATAAGCGTCATTGGTATATTGTTGCGCTTCGGACCCACCGTTTCGGGCATGCGCGGTGGCTCCGTCAAGCAGTCGAGTGCTACCTTTGGTTCCGCGTGAATTTAAATGGTGACCTTACGGAATGTGTACATTTAGATGGTCTACGTCGATATGATCAAGCTTCGCATGACAAAATGTTCAAGGAGGAGGAGGAGGTGATTCACCGCAGAAAGGTTAACATTGACCGCAAGCGTGAGCTTATGGCCCGTGATTATCGTCTGCAAGGGTTACGGAGTACATTCCGCAAACGTACATTTTGGCTGTCTACGATATCTCTGACCCCTCATGTTCCACAACCGAGGCCTCGGCAGTTGCCCTCCCTGATGGCTGGCGCGACATATTCCAATCCTCTTCGGTCGACCCCTCCCTCCTCCCTTTGGAGCGAAATCAACCCGTTCATCCATGTCCTTCCGGGCCCTCTGGATCAGGACTGGCTTCTCGCCCACAGCATCCGGTATACGTTCATTCTTAGTTGTCATCTTGGCATGCCTGGCCCCGATGGAATCCCGCATTCGGAACGGAAGAACGAAGGAGCATCAAGGATTATTTATAGTGTTTATTTCCGGCTGTTCAGTGGGCAAGTGCGCGCCCTTCCTGACGACATGAGGCGGAGCTTTCTTGTCTTCCTTCCGAGAGGCGTTGACCCTGGGGACCAGCCTGGCTGCGCCAACCTTATTCGTTTACCGTCTGCCGGTAGACCGCTCAGCATGAGTAATAGTGGCATGGAAGTGTTGGCCAATGCGTTCGTCATTCCCTTGGCTGAACACACACGTCGGATCTTCTTGGTCGTGGAACAAGCATGCGCGCGCGGTCGTGATGTGCTCGCCCATGTGGCACGCGCGGAGGCATGGGGCATCAGTCACCATATGCGCGGCGACGAGTATTCTTCCTTTTTTCCTCGCTGACTTCTTCTCGGCCTTCCCGTCTTTGGCGATCTCCTGGCTCTTCCATGTTCAGAGGTACATGCGCATTCCTGAGCGCGCCATCCGTTTCTGCAAAATGATGTATGGGAGCAGTGTTGCCCAGATTTCCCTGGTTGGCCGCCGTCTTGCTTGGATCGACATCTGCCCAGGTGTCAAGCAAGGCTGCACGGCCCGGCTTCCATGTATTTCTTCGTCTTGCGCTCTTCCGCGTTTCTTCCCATGTCTGCTTGCTGCGTGCTGCGATGCCTGGGATGTCTTTTTTGTTCGGCACATAACTCCGGCCGTCCCTTTAAGCCTGGCGCTCTTGCACAACACTTTGAGGCTCGGCTCAGAGTGACCGCCCGAAGGCACCGTGCACTGTCCGATGCCTGGCCGGGGCGTTCTCCCGACATCGGCCGCGGGCTTGGTCGTCGCCCCCTCTCCTGATGCGCCTGTTTTCCACCACCACCACCACCACCATAAGTTGGAGGGGAAGGGGATCCTCCTCCTCCTCCTCCTCCTCCTCCTCCTCTTCGTTTTCCTCCTCCTCTTCGTCCTCCTCCTCGTCCTCCTCCCCCCCTCCAACTTATGGTGGTAATGGTGGAAAACAGGCCCATCACCTCCTCTTCCTGCTGGCTTGAAGTTTGGCGAGGTGCTACCAGCTCGGATGACTGGCGCCCTTCGCGGCAGCTAAGAGTTTTTCCCATTGCATTGTTTCCGCTGCCCGCTCGAGTTGTAAGTCGGGCGTGGTCCTCTACAAGGGGAATTTTTAAAAATAGTGAAAAATTAGTATGGGGACGATTGTTTGACTATCGTTGAGTGTTTTTGGAATATGTTTTGACAAATTTTACTTTGTCCTCGAAAATCCGCCTGTGGGAGGACATGCCCGACCGAACGGCTGATAGGAGTTTCCCACTGAAGTGTCTCCGTTGCCCCCTCTAGTTTCTTTCGCTCACCTCCAGAATGAGTCGGTCTAGCATCTCGGACTCGGCTCCCCGCCCGTCGGAGTCACTGACTGAGGCTGCGCACGAACCACTTTGTTGACAGGAAATTTAACCATCCAATGAATAATGGGGGGGTGAAGAGGTTACCATCATCAGCATCAGCATCATAATCAACATCAGCATCATCATCATCATCATCATCATCATCCTCATCATCATCCTCATCCTCATCCTCATCCTCATCCTCATCCTCATCCTCATCCTCATCACCGCCATCATCACCGCCATCGTCATCATCATCACCTCCATCATCAACATCACCACCAACATCATTGCCATCACCATTATCATTACCATCATCACCATCATCATCGTAATCATTATCATCATCCTCATCATCATCCTCATCATCATCAGCAGCAGCATCATTCTCATCATCACCATCATCCGCCTCCTCGCCCGCTCTCATCCCGCGATGAGTTCGGAGTTGACTGCATGATTGATCGCTTCGTCGCTCGATATGATGTGAGCCCGACCGTAAGATATCAATGTGACGATTTCTCATGTTTCAGACGGTCGCGAATGCCATAAGAGTAAACAGGCACATCGGCTCTTACGCTGAAGGAGAACTTGTGAGGGAGCCCGCCCTTCTTTACCAGTCCACTGCTCCCGTTGGGCGGCTCTCGTCTAGCCCCCCGAGGCCCCGAGGCACTTTCGTCACCATCTCGAGTGCACGCGGTACAGAAGCTTCGTTGCATTTGACGATTGAGCCGTTGCCTCTCTCTATGGCCACTTCGGCTCAGCGCTCGAGGCCAGCCGCGCAGGCTCCTACCCCGACAGACCGAGAGGGCATCCGCTGAGCTCGTAGGTAGGGAGTCTGCGGGTCTGGCATGATGGTTACCCGCCCAGGCCCTTCCACCACGATGTGCCCCCCGTGGCCCAAGAGGCTGCTTCCGCCGAGTCATTGGGACGGCGAAGACGGGCTGTGTGCCGGTGGTGTGGTGGGGCCCAAGTCCTGGAGCTCCAGCGGCTCCAGCGGCTGGGGCGGGCCCTACAAACCTTGTAGGGCATTGGAGGACGAGCGCCAAGGAGAGGCCCAGATGCACGGCGACCCTGGCATCGAGGCGAATGCCGCAGACACCCTTCTCCCCGCACGTCGTGCGGTGGCGACTCCTCGTCTGGAGGCCGCCCGCCTCATCGCGCTCTCTGGGGGTGGCCTGTGCGGCTTCACCACCGTTAGGTTGAAGAACGTGGACTTGACGCTCACGCCGAAGAAGTTGGCCCAGGTGCTCGTCAGTCATGGGTTCAAGAATTCCTTCGATTTGGTGTACATTCCCCTGGACATGGTGAACAAGACGAAGAACCGGTCACTTGCGTTCGTCAACTTTGTCTACCCTTCGGCGGCGGAGAGCGCCTACATGAAGTTCCACAACCAGGAGGTGCCGCCCAACCTCGGAGTGTGCAAGAACGGGAAGCGGCTGGAGATCACTCCAGCGTACGTGCAGGGCTTCAAGGACAACATCGCGTGGAATTGTGACGCCGTGGTCGCGGGGCAAAACTGTATCCCGTCGCGCTGTCGCGCCTCTCCGCTGCCGCGCGCTAGGGGGGTGGGGCAGGGAGAAAGCGTGTGGAAGAAGCGGTGCCTGGGTAGGCGAGGGTCCGTGGGGCCTTGAGGAAGGGAAGTATTTGGAGGTTCGGGGGTAAGATCGAAGGGAAAGGGAGACCCCCCACCAGGAAATTGGTGTCGGTTTCGTGTTCGTGCCGCGTGTGTGGGCGAGGCGAAACGGCGTGCGCAGGCAAGAGGATGAGCCCGCCGTTGCTAGGGCGAAGGCGGAGCAAATGTTTCCCCTCCCCCCGCTTGGCGGATGTGGGGCCCGGGGGGGTGTCCAGCGGTGTCCCGTGATTGTATGATTGTCCCGTTGTCCCGATGGTTGCCCCGATGGTACGTTCATTGATTGGTAGAGGGATCGGTGAACTCATAGTGGGAACGAACGATGTATCGATCGACCTACACATACGTGTGTATATATATATGTTATTCGTTGGATCGGTAGTTATAGTTAGATCGATCGATAGAAAGTGGTGCTGATTGGCAGGTCGTGCGTTCGATCGGTATATAGAAAATCAGCCTAGTGATGCCGGTAGATCGATCGACCGATAAAGGTTACATCCGTGATTGTCTCGATGGTTGTCTCGATGGATGTCCGGATGGCAGGTAGATTTATGGATTGACAGTGAAATCTAATGATATACCGTGAGGCATATATATATATATATATGTTTACATATAGATATACCTATATATATATATATATATATACATATATATATATATATATATAAGAGTAGGCCGGGGGGGGGGGGGGAAAATCGGTGCCGTCATCCCCCATGTCGCCCCCCCGAACCTTTGGGGGGTCACAGACCCCCCGGGCCTGCCCCAGGCCGCTTCCAAATTGCCCACGACAGGCCACGCGGGCCGTACAGATGGTCAAGAAAGCTTGACGAGGCCCCGAAGACGCCCAAGAGCGCCCCAAGAGGGCCCGTGAGGGCCCCAAGAGGGCTTTCAAGAGGCAAACATCGGCCAATTTCCTTTGTAAAACGTGGATTTTCGGTATATTCGCTTGCTTCCTCTTGACAGTGCTCCAGACGCCCCCGCGGAGCCCCAAGACAGCCCAAGAGAGACCCAAGAGGGCCCCAGACGGCCCAAAAGGGTCGTCCTGTGGGGCTGACGGAACCCCCCGAGACGGCCCAAGAGGCCCCAAAGCCAGCCCAGGAGGCCCCCAAGACGGCCTCAGGGAGGCCCAAGAGGGCCTCGTTCGAAATCATGTTTCCGGAAGTCTCTCCGGGAACATGATTTCCGGGTCCCGAGGGCGCCCAAGAGGCCCACAAGACAGCCTCAGCGAGGCCCCAGAGGGCCCGAGATGTCTTGAAGATGGCCGAAGCGGGCACCGAGAGGGCCTTCAAGAAGCAAAAATCAGCCCGTCCCGTAGTAAACCATACATATTCAGCATACTCCTTTGCTTCGTCTTCGCAGTGCCCCAGACGCCCCTAAGGAGCCCCAAGACAGCCCACGAGAGACCCACGAGGGCCCAAGACGGCCCAAAAGGGTCGTCCTGTGGGGCTGACGGAATCCCCCAAGAGCGCCTCCAGAGGCCCCTCCAAAGGGCCCCAGAAGCCGAAAATTATAAATTGTCCAGTGGTTTTCGAAGCATTCTTGCGCTCTCCCATGTTCCGCCTCCCCACGGTCCCGGACCGCGTCAGAGGCCCTTCATATCGTTCCAAGACGGCCGAAGAGGTTCTCAAGAAAGCCCAGAGACGGCCCAGGAGGTTCCCCAGATCAGTCAAGAGGGCATCGAGAGCGCCTCAAGAGGGCCCCAAGAGCGACCCAAAGGGCCCGAAGAGCGCGACATTTCAAGGTCTCCGGCCTGAGAGGCTCCTAGGACAGGCCATCAAAAGGCTCCCAAGAAGCCCCGTGAGGCTCCCAAGAGGCCCCCTGGAAGCCCCAATAGGCCCCCAAGGGGCCCCCAGGGAAGCCCCCCTGCGGGCCCCCAAGACACTTCGGTAAATTGTATTTCCCAGATAGCTTTCCGGGAACATGATTCCTTGGGCTTCTGCCCACCGCCCCAACCATGTTTCCAATACGCTTGCCGACAAGGCCAAAAGGCGCCCTTCGGTAAGCCCCCAGAGGCCCCCCTCTTAGAGAGCCGAACAAATCATGCTCCCGGAAAGCTTCCCAGGAACAGTGATTCTCTATCTCGGAGTAGGCCCAGGGGCGGGGGGGCGGGACGTTGCCTGTTCCCCCCATCGGTGCACACTAGGGTTTGCGGGGGGGGTCCAGAGCTCCCGAGGCGGCCCGAGCCCGCCCCGAAGCAGGCCACGACAGTCTAAGGGAGGTCCTCAGAGGGCCCAAGACGGTCCCACGAGGCCCCGAGGCGCCCAAGATGCCCTCAAGACCACCGACGAGGACTCCAACACGCTCCAGGACGGACTCAAAAGGTTCCCCAAGAGGGCCCTGGAAGGCAAGATTCACCCGTTTTCCGAGTGTTTTGGATTTTGGCGTTCTCGTTTTTCCCGCTTTCCAGCGCTCCCTTCACGGCCTCGGAGACCCTTCAGATCGTTCCAAGAAGGCCCACGAGGCCCCGACGAGGGCCCCAAGACGGCCCAGGATGCTCCCCGGTCACCAGACAACCGAAGTGTGCCCCAAGAGCGCGCCAAGAGAAATCCCAGAGGGGTCCCGAGACGGCCCGGGCCCGCCCCGAAGCAGGCCACGACAGGCTAATGGAGGTCCTGAGAGGGCCCAAGACGGTCCCAAGAGGCTCCGAAGACGCCCAAGCTGCCATCAAGACGGCCGACGAGGACTCCAACACTCTCCAGGACGGACTCAAGAGGCTCCCCAAGAGTGCCCTGGGAGGCAAGATTCACTAATTGTCCGATGGTTTTTGAAGGATTTAGGCGTCCTCGCTTTCCCTGCTTCCCTGCGCTCCCTCACGGCCTCGCTCGGAGGCCCTGCAAATTCGGGCGAAGAGAACTATGCACATGCACCGATCCTGGCAAGGCCCCTCCTGGGCCCAGGATCGGTGCATGTGCCCTCCTGGCCAAGGCAGGATGGCGTATGCACCGATCCTGGGCTCAGGGTGGGCCAGGCCAGAGTCGGTGTATGTGCATAATTCTCTTTCTTCTATCAAATCGCTCCAAGACGGGCCACGAGGCCCCGAAGAGGGCCCCAAGACGGCCAATGAGGCTCCCCAGACAACTCAACTGTGCCCCAAGAGTTCCCCAAGACGACGACGACGACGACGACGACGACGACGACGACGACGACGACGACGACGACGACGACGACGACGACGACGGCGACGACGACGACGACGACGACGACGACGACGACGACGACGACGACGACGACGACGACGACGGCGCGCCCCAATAGGCGACGACGACATTACGACGACGACGACGACGACGACGACGACGGCACGCCCCAGCAGGCTCCCCAAGACGCCCCAAAGCCCTTGCTCCCAGAAGGCCTTCTGGGAACCCGATTCATACGGCCTCCGCCCCCCTCTACGTACACAACCATTTTCCTCCAAGGCCTTTCGGAATGCAGATTGGCATGCGTGTACTGTGGTCCACTACTTCATTGGAGCAGTGAATTCGTCGAGGCCTGGGGCCTGCTAGAACCTGAGCGCGCGCGAAGCGCGCGCGATGGTTCTAGTATATTTGCGTGTATATATATATACATATGCATATATATATATATATAATATATATATATATATATTATATATATGCATACTGACGAAAATATTGAGAGTGGTTTCGATACAGTGTTAGGGGTATTGGCTCGTTGATAAATAATGGCATCGGCAGAAAGATAGACTGCGACATCGATATGTAGCTCGATACCGGTAATGCCGTATGAACAGGAAGAGATGTCCATACATTGACATTGCTACAATTCGATTGATAGTGATGTCGATGTAGACATAGTGAGACCGACGGGAAGACAGAGATATCAACATATGTATGCATGCCTGTATGTATGTACGCATGCATGTATGCATGTGTATATATATACAGTCATACATATATATATATGTATGTAAATATATATATAATATATATATATATATATATATATATATATATACATATACATATACATATATATATATATGGGTGCAGGGCCAGGGGCCTTCTCCCAGCTGCCTCTGGTCGCCATGGTGCCTCCGGGCTCCCTGGGGGCCCTCTCCAGCGACCTCAGTGCCGCCCAGACGGCTTAAGTGGTGCCACAGAGAACCCAGCCGGCTTCATAATGTCCCGCGGGGCTTCCGGGCAACCCTAGATAGCTTCAAAACGGCCCAGGAGGATTCGACTTTCGCTCCCCAGAGGGCCCCAAGAGGCATTAACAATTGATTTACCACTGTTTTTTTATCTTTGGGGGATTCTCAACTTTCGAGCTTCCGACGCTCCCTGACGGCCCAAGAGGCCTCCAAGACCGCCCCAAGCAGCCCAAGATACCCCCAAGACCGCCACAAGACGGGCCAAGAGAGTCCCAAGAAGACGGCCCCAAGAGGAATCCAAGACGGCCCAAGAAGAGCCGCCCAGACCCAAGACGGCCCAAGAGGGCCGTCACGGTAGCTGAAGAACAGCGGGGGCACTTGCCTACGTGGGGCAACCCACGCGACTCCGACATCGCGGAGACATCTCGCGCCACATTATGCTCTACGGACGAAGACCACACCTACGGATTGGACTCTGACGAAAATGGTTCATATATAGAACTCTGCTTTACTTCAGACATGTCAAAGGTAGTCTTATCCGAACAACAACATAGGATATTTGACTTCGACCGTGTGACCACCATGCGAGTATATGTAGCCGCTGCCGCAGAACGAGCTGTGGTCGTCAAGGACGACGACCTTTTCACGAACGCCGATATTCAAGCGAATCCTATCAAGGTACCAAAGGCCCTGTATACTGAAGTGAAAACATTGTTTGACAACGAGTGTTCCAAGATGCAAGGTCTATCAAAAGGGTCAAA